GACTGAACTTTCTCAGGACGAGCCTTGTAAACTGTGGATTGAGTTCCACTTCCCCCTTCTTGCAGATTTATAAAGTTCGCCTCAGTTTCATTGCTTGGCTTGAACCCTGAGCGAGAGTTGTAGATATTTATGCTTTTAGCTATGTTTATTATTGTGTGGCTGCTCTCAAAACTGTGATTCTTTGCCTTCAATAAACAAAGAATAATAATTTGTTTATTTATGTAAATAATTAATCATTAAGAAAAATATCCTTGGTATAAACTGAATGTGCACCAATCAAGTACATTTTACTTGCCCGGTTAAAATGTAACACTTTACATTTTAACAAAATGACAGCATTTCAGACATTTTATTTTTTGATTGTTATTGTATCTGTGCATGCGTCTGTGGTGTCTGTGTTAAAGTACAGCACTTTGGTAAATGTTGTTTTAAATGTGCTTTATAAATAAAATTGTATCGGAAGTTCAGGGTGATCTGTGTTTGTCCAACAGGTGGCAGCCTGCAATTAATAATGTAAGGTAGGAGCGCTCTCAGTGGATCCTCAATGAGAAAACATGTTTTTAACTCATGTTTTTAACTCATGTTTTCTAGACATTTTGGTTTTACTTCAATATACATTTATATTCAAATAAAGTATTTTTTTTCAACAAGTTGATAATTTAGCCCTGCAGTTTCCATCATTAAGTAGGTTCAGCGGTGTTTCAGGTGGTAATAAATCATATGAGGCACTATGTTCAGTTACACAATGTGGAAATCATCTCTCGTCTACAATCTTCTGAGTTCATTGTGCTCTGTTTGCTTGGATCCTTTATGTCCAATTGCTTATCAATAAATCTACTTACTTTAATGGGGTAACTGAGTAGAAAATGAATGGCAGTGAAGCAGGTGACTGACACAGTGTGGATGTTCTCAAATTAATTCAGGGGGGCTTCATAAAAAAACTCAGCCCTGTACCCGTGTAATGATCAGCAGCCTGTGCCAGATGTAACAAATGGTTCACTTGGTCTAAACATGTAATGACTTGACATATTTTTGTTAATTAGCTTGTAATACGTGTGTTTAATAAGAATAATAACTGCCCTGCTGTCACATCAGTGACTGTGTTTTATCATTTTAAGATCGTTGTGTCGCAGGCTTTACATTTATATTGCGGTTTGTCAAAATCTGTCTCAGAGTGAGAGACGAGGGAATCCACGGTACAGGTTTAGTGCTGATTAGAAATGAGCAAAAATACGGGTCTTTCTCTTTATCAAAGCGATCCAGTGAACACGGGGGTCAGCTTGTTGTCGGCCACTTGTCAGCGAGTGATGAAGAATGTGAAGCCTCTAATATTTATCATTACACTGCACCCCATAAGTCACCCTGTCTAAGCTGGTGCCAGATGTGACTTCAGAATAAATGTGCAGCCTTCACCAGTGTTCACATGCAGCAGTATTGAGATGTTTTTGTTTGCTGGGATGCACCCTTAAACAGTTCAGCGCAAATGTTTTAGGCACCACGACTAAAATGAGGCTGATTTGACAGAAAAAATGAAGACCTCAAGCCTGCACCTGCACACATTCTTTCCAATACTTCATTGACATTTTCTTTGAGTTTAGGACTAGACTTAATCTATATCTGGGAAACTGGCTGTCAGCATCTTAATCTTAGCTTAACTTTATGATGTTGGGATCAGGGCTCTACAGGAGCCATGACATCTGTTCCATTGCTCTTCTTTTCCCTGATGGTAGCTCTCTACGCTCTACAATCTAAAAAAACTTGTGCATGCTATTGCAGCTGCAATGTTATGACCTAATCTAAAGCAGTACTGCTCAGATGATGCACTAAAACTTACATATTTACATTGTATGCGCTACGGTGCATCACGTGTGCTATATAGAAAAAACACACCTATGTGTGTGGCTTTTAAATGAGCTTGCTTTGGAGGTCGACTGCTTCTCTCCTTCCCACACATTTAAAACCTCTTATAAGAATGAGTAGAAATTAGAAACCCACAGCACCAACACTGAGCTTTTATGTGTCACAGCAAGTCATGCCGCACACGACCACTCACATCTCTCAAAGAAAAGAAGCAGCCAGATTACTGTCTAAAGAGAAGTTTGTATCTCTGTTTTTATTTCCCTAGAACAAATAAACAGTCTTAAAACTTAAATTATAAACACTGATATAAAGACTAGATATTAATTTTAATTTGCAACACAAGATATCAGTGCGGAATGTAGCCAAAGGGAGTCTGCACAATCACAGCAACAAAGGAATAAACATTTGTCCTCCCATATCCTGGTGGGCCTCCTTTCCCAGCCTCTCATGTCTATTTAGTTTTTTACATGAATCAGTGAGAACAGTGCCAGAAGTGTGTGGGTGGTTCTGGGACAAAGTTTACTGAAGCTGAAGTTTAGGTGGAACAGGCCCCATTCAATAAAACATCTGGATAAGATGGGAGGGGAAAGCCCTGGTGATGCACACCCCTCTTTGCTCCTCATGAGGTTCACACATGGCTTTTATGACACCTCGTTCCGTTGGTGATTTGTAGCTGTTTACATACTGCTTTTAAGTTTACGGTTTGCGAGATGAAGTGCTTAAACTTTAAAAACTAATGTTGAGTTGGGAGATTTTGTTCTTGTTTAGGCAACTAGGAGCATGTCTCTTGTAGAGCTTTGATTCTGGCTGAATGAGACAGATTTAGGTACACCACACGCAGGGGCGAGTGTGGGATCTCACCCTTGCACGGCTTTGCACTCTATGAAAATTCTGTTGCAAACTTGTTCCCTTTTCAGTCATAACAGTTTCAATCAACCGTGAACACCCACACCTAACTGCCTTCTCACTCAAACTCAACCTGTCAAACAGAAACAATGCTAACTCTTGATTTAAACATCTGCTCTTTGAGTTCAGGTTAAAGAGGTGCTAATTTTGTGTTAAAGGACCAGTGTGTAGGATTCAGTGGCCTCAGTCAATCAGTTAAAGACCCACCGCTTTCCCAAGTGTGACGGAGAATCGGTGCCCATCAGGTCCCACTTACAAAATTATCTCAGAGTTTAAGCTCAATTGCCTATCCAACTGGAAACATCTAGAAGAGACCAGATCTGTGTTTTGTACTTGTTTTCTCTTGTAGCCTGCCCCAGTTTTGTTTCACTTTGTTTTTTATTTTGAGGGTTGCTGCTCTTTCTTGTTCTAAATAATATATATGATCATTCATTTGTGAAAATTTGCTGCAAATTCAACATGAAAATACAAACAGCCCTGATTGGAGTGTGCTACCATCAAGTGATTGGAGAAGTAATCAGCAAGCCCAAGCATGAAGATGAACAATGCCGGCCCACCTCATATGTGGACATAGCCACCAAGATGGTTGGTAAAGTCCAACCACGAAGACTTGTGTTGAGTATACCCTACATACCCTGGATAATTCTCCTTTCTAATTGTTAGAATGACCACCATTTACAAAACTGACTTCATGTTTTGTTCACTGTGATCTGAAACTGTGACTAAGCCCGTAAACTCATTAGGAAAAGGCTTTCAGAGGTCATAGAGCAAGAAACTCTGGGGCCGTTTTAGCCCTGACTTCTACACAAACTGAAGTCATGTTGCAACAACAGGAGTCGCTCCCTGCTGTTCATTAAAAGGAAAGGTCTAAGGAACTGTCACAAAGTCCCAGACTGTTGTTCAGAACAGGTCTGCTAGATTTTTACATCATGATGATCATTGGAAAAGAATTCACAGGAACACGGCTAATATTACTGTTATTGGTTATGTGTCATTAGCGTGGAATTATTTCCTTTAATGTAGCAGCCACATTTGTTTTAAAAGTAATGTATGTTTTCCAAACTTCTACTAAAAGTTATTCCAGTGAAATATTTTTTTAATCATTTCAGACATATAGAATACACACAAATTTTAAGGAGTAATACTTTTATGAAAATGTTCTGCTTTGGCATCATTAGGTTACATAAAGAACATTTTAAACAACAATTGTAACAGTTTTCAGAAATCAAACAAAAGTCAACATCTACTCTCTCTCTTGGAAAGAACTGAATCAGACACACACACACACACACACACACACACACACACACACACACACACACACACACACACACACACACACACACACACACCTTTTGATCCGCTTATTGAATCTTTGAAAGAAAAGCAGACCCAAGAGTAATTCACGATACCTTTATCTAATTGCATTAACAAAACATAAATCTGCCTCTTAACTGAGAAATAAAGGAGTGAAGTCCCCGAAAACATCTATAAAAATGAGAACTTGATTAAAGCAGAAATTTTGAGGTGAAACCTCTGCAGTCCTGCTCTTTGAATACAGTGACTTTAAAACAGGGGCATACTTTACTTAGAAACTAAAGATTGGGGTAAACAGATTTTAAATAAAGGTATCATTTACCACACAACGCAGATAATACAGGATCCACTCTGCTGCTGATTTACTTTAATCACTGGTTTAGACTGTCTTACAAATTTATAACAAATAAAATGACCATATCTTACATGCAGTGAACATGAAGGTTTTTTTTTAGAATCTGGAAGTGTGGGATGCTGTAGTATGTACTACGTTTATGCAGGAAAGATAAAGATAAAAGGTTCAGGTTCAGGTTATTTGTACCCAGTAGGTACAGTTGATTTGCAGTAGGTAAGCCATCCATCCTTAAAGGTAAATTTTCAAACAAGCAGAGACAACAGACAGTGATTAAACTGGATACAATATAACGAGGGAGTATATTGCAATTATGGCTACTCTTTAATAAAAACCTATTTAAACTGGGAAATCAGACTCCCATCATTTCATTGCCCTTATTTCTGAATTTTGAGGAACAGTGTTACTCCACAGTCTGCTAAAACTCGCATTAGCAGTCAGTGATAATAACGCACAGATAAACCTGTCGTGCATCAGCGCGACCCAGGACAGCAGCTCGCGCTGACTCCCGCAGCATCTCCCCCTGTGTGGGACCATCATGTCACTGAGCTCGGCGGAGGGATACAGTAACCAATGTCATCGTGGTGCTGAGGCTTTTGCAAAGCAAAAATGTCTGCCTAAGGGAAACTCGTAACTGATATATATAGAGGATATTCCCCCAGTTATTGCTGTTTAAACCCACATTTCGCTGTTCTGAGGCGTCTTTTCAGAAAACGACTCTTCACCAGATCACCCTAGTCGGGATTTTAATCGGAAAACAGGTAAAATATCAGAAGGAGTTTGCCAAAAAGCTTTCGGACCCGTGAAAGAAGTTGGGAGTTGAGAAAGACCATCACTGCGTTTTGTATTCCGGAGCTGGAAATTGAGATTATCATTTACAATATTTGTTTATCTGTGTTGCCTGTCTTGAAGTGGTCTGTAATTTACGTTTCGGTCTATCGGAGGGCATTGTCTTCTCCGTACTGCTGTCTACACGGACTAAAAACGCTGCAGCTGCCTGCAGCTCGCTAGCTATTTTCAACCCATATGAACTAGGGACTGCAGCTAGTGTTAGCCGCTTAGCTAAGCGACGTTAGGTGCCTCCGCGAACAGTAGGCGATAACCATCGTTATGCGTGGAAAATAAGCCGCACAGACCACTGACATTAACACGGTTAGTGACAGCCCGGGCAGAGGGTCGTTTAAACGTCTCGGAGTGATAACAGAGGCACGTTGACGGCGCTCTAACGCGATGCTGCAGGTCCTGGCTTTAACAAGCAGAGCCATCCATTCAGAGCGCTCCTACTAACGGTCTCATCTCTCTTAATCAGCGCAGTGAGAGAAAACAAGTAAAGAGAAACATTTCTGCACACTTTCATCAGTGATTATACGCCCGTTCTGTCCGTGTTTGCCACATGAAGGTTAAAGCCATAGTCAACTTTACTTCACAGTGATGGTCTTTATTCTTCATCCATAACAAATACCTCCCGCGGCAGTCATTTCATGTGGTACTAGTCCCCTCTGCTCAATAAACCAGCAAAGATGTAATCTGATGGACTTTGTCTTCTCCAGCTTTCTAGATCGCCAGGATGAACCCCCAGCAGCGGATTGCCGCTCTCGGAACTGACAAGGAACTAAGTGACCTGCTGGACTTTAGTGCGGTAGGTTGGGTTTTTTTTAAACGCTTTGCCATGCAGCTCCAAGACATGTGATGATTAAACAGGCTTAATAATGACTAATTGATCAATTCCTGTTAGTATGTCGAGTAGTATGATTTCACAGGCTAACCTTGATTTAGTGTCATGGCACTGGATTATGTGAATGGTTGCTTTTGCACATCTGACTTGCTCTAATTGTAGGTATGCATTTCTGTGTTTCTCCTTTCAGATGTTCTCTCCACCTGTAAGCGGAGGGAAAAATAGGCCTACCACACTTGGAAGCAGTCAGTTCAGTGCATCAGGTAGGACCTGGTCCCAAAGACCTCTCTGTAAACCCTCTGATACGTAGTCTCTCTTTATCCCTGCTCGCATGACTCATAATTCTGCACTTGAAGATCGGTTGTTTACCTGATTCTGATTTGTTTGAGTTCTGTTTGGACTTATTTATATAAATGGAGACTGGAAGAAAACTGTCTTAGTTTTCAGCATTGCATGTGATTCTTCTCTCTCCTCTGTGTGTGTGTGCTTTTCACATCTGGTGCTTGAAACATGAGCCCTCCACCTGGAATTGTAGTGCAGTGCTGTAGTAAAGATGTAGAACAAAGCTTGGTTTAGGACACAGACGGGTGTAAATGTTTTATTGATCTAATGTGAGTGTTATTCATTTTTTCATCGCATTGTCAGATGCTTTAATTAGGCAGTTCTTTTGTCAGCTTGTGGTTAAGGATTCGCTGTAAGGTTTCCTTCAGGAAAATGCTGTTAATATCCCTAGTGGGATTGTGTGACATTTTCTTATTGAGCAAGATTACAGGAGCATATTGATGATGCCCCTCAAATATACGCATACATTTAAGTGTGTTTTCCATGAATTTCTGGTCTCTTTGGGTTAGGGTTAGTAGGTGGTTTGGTCGTAATAACTAGCGTTAAGCTTTTCTGCTTCTGGATCGCTTCCTATATCTATAAACGCTACAGGACATGAATCCGAAGCACATCTATTGTCTGATGTGGCACTAGAGAAAGTCAACAATCGAGCTTTATGTATTGTGAAAGCATGTCTTGTGTGCATCCACAAAGCCTCGTTGTCATCGGTTATCTGCGAAACGAAAGACACACACTGAGGAGAAATGACAAAGAAACAAGAACAGAGCTGTCACACATGAACTGCGGGGCTGACTTTTATAATACCTAATCATTCAAGTAACGATGATGCTGTGTGTGTGTGTGTGTGTGTATGTGTGGTCTCTTCAGTAAAACAAATGGCAAGAAATTCTAGTGAAATTGCTCTGAGAATTTTCAAATAGTCGCACCTTTCTGGTAAGCTTCCCACGCATATGTTCATGTAATGTTATAATAACACAAAGTTTCACATTGACAACAGCGTTGTCAATATTTTTGAAGGTTTTCATGTGACAGTGTTTTAGGTATACCTTTATAAAAAATAATAAATCTGAGCATGCCGCCACCACTACTATCTGCTCCCTGAGAAGTCAGAGCCGATTTGAAACAAGTTACAGGAGTGCCAGACAGGAAATGTATTGCAGAGCTTTTTCACTTGATTGTGTCAGATTACACAGGTGGAAACCTCAGTGAATGTTTCTCTAATTGTGGATGTTTTCAGCAGCCGGGTTGTTTTGTCATTGCTGCAGCAAGCTGATGACAAAAAATGAAACAGGTTTCTTTAATGTTGATTTATCTGCAAAACAAGCATTTTTACTAGGATGACTAAACATTGGTGTTGTCCATGCAGTGCACTGTAAGGCATAACTATGTGCTGTTGTGGTTTATTGTAGGAAGGTGCTCTTAAATACACTGTGGTCAGCCTGGTGCTTTTTCTGTGGAGAATTGTAAGTTACAGCTCAAAGCTCATTGGCATCGGTGTGTGTCTTCTGGTAACCAAGTTTTTTTTTCAAAACTGAACTAAGGCTACACCTGGGCTGTTGGTTAAAAACAAAAATGATAAAAATTATGTGGGCGTGACTGTGTAATTACAAGATGTTTTGTAGATTTTATTTGCAATTTGTAAATGTAATATTTTGTGAGAAACATACTATCTGCAGATATTTTTATTATTATGACATGAACTATGTTTAGAGCAGATTTAAAGAGCTCAGATTAGGTATTAATGTCTCCTTTTGCTTATTTCTATCTAAGTACAGATTTATAAATAGGCAGCTTTGTTTCAGTTCTTTTATTCCCCCTACAGTCTAGGTTTGACTGTTTGTGTTAGATAATTAAATAGTTTTTCCACACATAGTTTTAAATTGGAGCTATAATAACTCTAATTATTGTTTTATGGTAACACTTCAGATGTTTTTGTTCTTTAATTTGCAATACATCTTTGTTTGCTGTTAAATAACCGTGTTTGTTTCTAAAAATAAAATATTAGTTTGTAATGGGGGTAATTCCATGTCAGTTCTTCACCTCCGTTACACCTGACCGCATCTCAGATTCGCCTGAAAAAGAAATAAAAATCCAGGGGACAGATAAACTTCTTAAAAGGAATTATGCAAAACAAATCAGGTCCCTACAATCATTAGGTTTCTCAATATAAAGGTAGGGCTGGTGATGTGGCTCTGTGAATGTGGACTCGCTGGAGTGTGGCTCAGGTTATCTTAGATCGGTGGATTGAAGTCCTTAATATATTTGTTTGGCTGATCTCTGATAGCAGAATTGGAGAAACCATAACTTTGCAGGTAGGGGACTGATATTTCTTCACTGTGATATTTCTGAGGTATGACACCATATATTAAATCTAAATTAACTATTTTACAAAGAGCACCTTTCTGTTAATATTATACTCAAAATATGTCATGGTGGTTTTTTTTAATTGGATGAATTGAGATTGAATGATCCACTGTGTTTTAAAAAAATTATATATCTATATAGATATATAACTTGATTGATAAATAATTAGATGTAGGACGGAGAGATTACACTCAAGTGTTTTTGAGTTGCATGATATTTCTACATCCATTTATGGTTTCGTGTCACAGGATATATTTTGCTGTAAGAGACACACTCTGGAAAGATTTCCATAGCTTTTTAGCTTTTCTGTTTTTTAGTTTCAAATTTCTGAATGTTTGGTATTTTGTTTAGTCACATCTTAAATATTTCCTGTGGAACTTCAGCAAAATTCACTACTGAAACTATATCACGCTGCAGTATCATGGAGAAGATGAGCCACTAAAAGTGTCTTACATCTAAATAGTGAGAGGGAATTTATTGTCTGCTTTAGTATTTTGTGTTTTTGTAGCAAAAACTGCTCGTATGAGCTATACCACTTTTTTCCAACAAACAAGCATCTGCACAACTTTGACTCTGCAGTGGATTGTAATTTCAGGAGGCTAAATTTAGTTTGCATATGTATGCTTGTATACGTTCTAATTTAAATATTCCAGCACTGACACCTATAGCGGGTAAATCCCTCTTCCCTTTAGCCTACAGCCAGAGCTCATGTCTCTCTGATCCTCAAGGTAGGGGAAGAAGCACCTACATAAGTGATTGTGAACTTAAGGCAAGTGAGTGTGCAGTCATGAGTGTGGAAATTGCAGGGAATGAGGGTTTGGATTATTGCATCTCAGCTGGGCATAGCCAGATAATTGAGGCAGAGTGGGACATGCAGGACTCTTCAAAAGTGTGTCAGAGAAAGATGGATTGGAAAAAATAGCCAAAGTGGCTCTAACGGAGATTCATCATTTCTCTCCTCCAGCTGTGTTGATGATGCAAATCTGATGAGGCCATTGACTCTTCAGTGGAGTGGGGCTGCTGTGAAATGGGTAATTTTCATTTAGTGGGTATGTAGTGGTACATTTGTTGACTGTGACCAGCAGCTGTTGTAGGTTGGTTTGTCAGTCAGATGGATCCCAAAATGAAATGTCTCATTGCCGGTCGTAGCTACAAAGAGAGCGTCACTGCTGCTGCCTCACTTTGAGGTCAGTTTTGTGTGCAAAGCATCAGATTTGGTTATTAATTATCAGATTGATGTCACCTAACAAAAATAAATACTCTTGCCTGTAAAGTCAAGATGGTTTTCAATGATTTAGAAATGCATTACAGAGAAGATACATGCAGGATGTAAGCATATGCCAGTTAAAATTGTTCAACCGTGTATGAAGGAACGATACCCTGCAGGGTAGTGTCACCTCGCGGGAAGGCTCCTAGGTTTGAATACACTGGCTGGCTCAAGTCTCCCTGTGTGAGTTCATTTCATGTACCCTGGCTTTCTCCCGCAGCCCAAAGACATGTGTGTTGGGTGAAGTGGTGATTCTGAATTGGCTG